CATAATTCTATACAAAACAAGCCTGCCTCTCTTCTAATTTACTATTTGCTGTGCCCATCAGGGTCCATGATTGTTACTATACATAATATTACCATCTTATCTTACATTGTGGATGCAATAAAGAATTTATGATTATGATTATTATGATTATGATAAATTCTCCCGCCTATGGTAAGGCGAAAGTGAGTGTCAGATTCTTACTGACTAAAAACCACCCCGTTCCTTCTCCAGCTCCGAGCTGAGTATAGCGACTAGTGTCTAGTCACACCCTGAGTAATTTAATATCCAGCTACAACCAAGTGGTGTGGTCATCCTTACTCAGAGGTCCCATTGGGCGGCGCGCACTGAATCGCTCGATTCCCTATAATATGGTTGAGTTGGGCGGTGTACGTGTCATGTTCGTGAACGGACGCCGTCTATTGGGACTGTCTAAATATTTGTACTCGAAGTTATTTTCTTTTTCGGATGCTTTGGCAAATATAAGTGCTACACTGTTGTTTTTATTTTGGCTAAATATTACTGTTCCGCTCTGAGAGAACAGTTCTCACATAACTGTTCTCACAGTTCTCATAGAACTGACTAAATGGTATACCTAACAAGGAAATTAATTGTGAAACTGATTGAAAAAGAGTAACCATGGAGTTTCTTGCTCGTTCTTCTCCATAGGAATCTACACTTTGGAACGAGCTAATAGCAAATAGCTAGTGAAGACTAGAGGACAGATCGACAGCCTAAAGTGTGACAAGTCTAAGTGTAACAAAATTCAAAAAACTTCTTTGTGTGTCACAAAGTAGTTTTTTTTGTTTGGTGTTCAAAAGTGCCTACAGTTTACTATATACATTGTACTTTGAAATAAATTATTTGACTTCGACTTTGACATTGCAATTTTATGGTTATTATCTAAAGGAAGAGGCGATATAAATAAAACAACACAACATTTGCAAGTGATTCGAGAATAATAATAATAAAAACAATAACATTTATTTACTATTGGTTCTCAAAATTCACCATTAACTACTTAGGTACATAGGTACAATGTATTTTTTTGTATTTGAGTTCATAAACCAACAAAGCTGATGCGCGACACAATCGAAAATTTCTTGAAAAAAACTCAAAAGAAAAAAATATGTAAGAAAAACAATTTTTTTCGTAACACGCTTTTTTGTCTGTCACAATTTTCGATAGCAGCGCGCATTCAAAATATGTATTTTTAATATATTTCTGTTCTTTACATATGTAGATATATCATTATTTTATTATTATGTTTTTTTTTATTATTATTTATTTTCATATATTTGTTACTCTTCATATGTTCAGGTAATGTGTAAAAATACTTAATTATTTCATTAACAAATTAATATTTTTTGATAATATAAATCATCTCATAGAAAAACAAGAAGTACAAAAATTTTATTTATTTTTATTTTGTTTTTTTTTCTTTTCAACTATTTATTTATAGATAATGATTTTTTATTTGGATACCCGTAAAGTCGTAGGTACCGTTTTACAAAATAGAATACTCTTAGAAAAGAATCAATGTCAAATAAAAAAAAGATTTTACTTTTTATATATAATGTAATATACTAATAATAAAATCGAACCAATTTTTGTAAAAAACACACAGACACCCGATACCGTATATTCCCATAACATCATGCTTGCTTTTTTCCAAAATACATTTTTTTTTATTCTATCCTTTACGTGTCCAAATCTATATTAAGTTTTTTAGTGAAAATTTAGCAAAACATAGTACAAAAGTTTTAGAAATACCTACTAAATCTACCAGCAAGTAAAACGTTACCCTATATACTATCACTATCGCACTGATACTCAACGCTTAAGTGCGAAAGAGAGGCATAGAGCTACTCTCTTCACCCTTCGATTTGCACCAATCAAGTCTAAGTATTGCACAAAGTTATGGACACGGCATTGTTTTTAAAAGGTACACTACACTTGCGATTTTTTTGTACTGACATGCGATTTTTATTTAAAAAAAATATAAACCTAGACACTGCAAACAGTTCTTGATTACAAAGTCATCAAAAGATGGTGAATTAGCTATTAATTAATCCATATTAAGTTTACAAGTCTTGTATTATTTTTTTTTAAACCAATTTAACCAAAAACACCAAAATGTAATAAGTAATCTGTGTAAATAATAATACAACTCTATAAACGTATGAAAAAATAATACTTACTGAAAACATATTGCTTTCATTAAACATCTAATTAATTAATATTCAGCCTTTAATTTTTATTATTATTTTAAGATGACAACATAATAACAAAAGCGAATATTTTTCTGTAACACTAAAAAAACAACATTAAACGTAACATCTTTATTAGTCGCAAAATCGCAAGTGTGTATAGAACCCTTTATAGAATTATATTTGAAAAAATAAATTCGTGATCCGTGGCCGGTCTTAAAGAGGTTTTAATTAGAATCACTGAGTCAAGAAACTGTTGCTAATGCATATTTTTTGCAATTAATGCAATAAACAGCAATAAAATAATATTGCTTTCATGTCTTTTTTTTATTGAATCCTTTGACGATAAGCGAAGGTAATAAGGTTAGGTTTCTATTTTTTTCAGCCAATTTTTTCAGTCTTAGTGCTCTAAAACGTTTTCACCAATATTTTCGTTTTTGTTACTAGTTAAGTAATTTTATTTTGTAATCTTTCATTGGAAATGTCCAATTTTTTGTTGTTAACAGAAAATACATAAATAAAGATGTGGAAAAAAATACAATGAATTATTTTGATCTTGTTTTTCTTTTTCTATACATACATATTCAGGTTTATAAATACATAAGTTTATACATGAATTCAAAGTTTTGATACATTTGATGCATTTGATGAACTTTTAAGGTTTACTGACATACGTACTCGTAAAACAAGATTGTTTTTTTTTTCTTATTTATCAATTAGAAAATAAATATTTTACAAATTGGACATTCCCATTTAGTAGCTAAACATAATTTCTAAATAATCTAAAAGTGTGCGCCTAGATTTTTACATATTTTTTATTTTTTTGCGAAAAAAAGTGTTCACACACTCTTTGAAAAACTGTATTGCAAATATACTAATAGTTGTGGAAATATTAAAATTAATTATTTCTACGTATATATCTGAGTTTTAATAGAAATTAAAATATATTTTATTATTATTATTAATATGTTTAAAATTAACATTTGAACCACCCGTATGTTTTATCTATGTATATGATCTCACTATTACGATTATCTTATTTTAGCAGAAACTAAAGTAAAAAAACGAAACTAAAATTTCAACAAATTAAAACTAAAAAAAAAAGGAAAAAAAGGAACTTCAAAATAAAATAAAACAAACTAGGCATAACAGACTGCTTTATTAACAAAAAATATATGGAAAAAAGGTTAAAAACAACATTTTAGAATGACCTTGACCTTCAAAGTCAAATAAAAAAATGTGTTTTATATTTGGATGTTTTTTTTTTCTAAAAAAAAAGAATGAAAAAATAAAGATAACCCATTAAACCTCATAATATTTAATAAAAAATACATATGATTAATAACTATTTACAAAATACAAGTTAAGATTTATACTTTTTTTATAACATTAATTATAATCCAGTCTATATAATAAAAGGCTATTTCGACAAACTTATTATAAGGTTAGAAACTTGATGTTCGGTTATTTTAATAACTCTAATTATTAGTAGCAGGCAATTTAAATTAAATTAAAAAATATATTGTACGTATTTAAGTTGCAAAAAAAGCTACAAAAAGTAAAATAAAAGAAAAAACAAAATTGTTCAAAATAAAAATTACGTATCAACGAATAAAATACAACATTTTATTATGCATTATTTAATTGTGTTTTGTTTTGTAAAAGTTTTTATTTTTAGTTTTATTTCTTCAATTTTATTATGCGAAAAATGTGACACAACTCCAAAATGGCACCCAAGCAAAGGATATGAAACGAAAAATGAGATCAATAAAGTCTACGCGCGAGAAAATAAAAATCAAAAAAATGAATAAAAAAAATTAAAATTGCCTGCTAATTATTACATAAAACAAAAAAACAAGATTTTTGTCCGAGAAAATTTGATTAAACCATTCTTTCATTTTTCTCATTAAAAAATTTTGTTCATCGCACGACTGTTGCTCGACTTAAAATTAAATATAATTATGATTTTTGCATTTTTCCATCGCTTCAGCATATTCGACATAATATGTACTTCATTACTCCTTAATAAAAACAACGAAAAATACAAAACGGGCAGTATATTGTATCCTATTTTACAACTTAAAACTAAAATCTACAGAGGCGAAAAAAACATCAATAATAATAATAATTAATAATCATTTGAAATAAATAACAAGTTACATCTTTAAAAAAACCGTTAAAATTAATAAAAAAAAATGAATCCTATTTTAAATAAGTTCCGTTCGGCTGAAACCGTGTGATTTTAACTTGCTACACTTTTATAACTTTTTTATTTATTTCTTAATAAAAACTCTATCCCTATTATTATATCTTTATATAATAATTATTATTATTTCTTCATTCAGAGTTAGATACACTTTACGATAATTATATTACGATATTCCTTTGTATACAAATACACAATCAAACATTCACTATGTCTAATTATGTATTAAATAATAAACCACAAAAATGTGTGTGTAACGCTAGATAATATAATTCATGTTACGAAAATAATAATAATAATAAGAGAATTTTTCATAACAAATGAAAAAAAAATCATACATTCTGAGATTAAATGTAAAGCTAAACGCATTTAAATGTAACTAGAATCGAATTAAATAAACCTCCATTTTTTTTTTAATTATTGTACGTACGTACTTTTAAGTAAATATTTTAACAGTCTCAAGGTACATACATACAATTATAAATATATTATTAACAAATATTTATATGCGTTTAGTTTTGCAGTGGGAATTAATAAAAAAAAATAGCTGTCAAGCTGTCTAGAGTCTTTGAAAAAGGTCTCAAAATGCCACCGTCCAGCTATGTTGGGCAAAAATGAGATCGTTCTAACGAAATCTGAGAGAAACCTGGGGGTAGGCCTTGTGGGCCTAGCCGTGGGTGTAGTCGAGGACACTGTCAAGTGAGAACAGCTCTTTGTAGAGTGCGGGGAACACGTGGTGGGGGTGGGCCGCCTTGAAGCGACACAGCGCCTCCAGGTGCATCAGCGCGAGCTCTCTGCAAACAAAATACAAATATATTAGGACTCATGAAATAGAAGTTCTTAGTATGTTTGTTTTAGTACTCTAAGTATTTTTGGAGCCTTAATTTATTGCATTTCTTTTTTGTTACTTTATGTTCATTTTTATTGTATATAGCTTTGATGCTTTCTGTGGCATTTTCAGTGCAAAAAAAATATTTCTTTGTTTTTGTTCCTATTTTGATAGAAAAACGGTAATTGAAGTGAAGATTATATCGTTGTTTAAATGTTCGCAAATATTGCAAGTAACTACTTTTATTTCCAGGGTTATCAAATGTGCCACACATTAGACTACACACAAAATAGAAAACATTGTTTTCGAAAAAACCTCAATTATGATCAAAGAATCTGAAACTTTTAACAAAACTAACGTAACTTGGAGGACTTATTAGAGGACGGATTTTTCATTATAACTCACCTATAGTTGGGTATTTTATTGAGCAGTGTGTCTAGCACTGTGACATCACCCTTGACAGGCCCGTGGTTCGACTCGATCTCGTGTCTGATCGCCGCCATCGACATGTTAAACAAACACTGGATCTCGGGGTTACCGCGGACACCGTGCCGCTCTGTGAATTAAAAAGAAAATAAATAAATTACAAAATTTAATGCAAATAGACATTAGACCTCTAGACTTTTAGCTTGAATGAGAATTTTAGCCATTCAATCAAACGACTAGTCATCCAGGTCGTTGGTTCGATAGCTAATTAATATTTAGCTGCGATATATTATTATGTTTTATGTTCTATCGTGATGCTTACCTGGCCACAGAAGCACAAGGCTTTGGTAGAGGGCGAGTTCAGTCTCAGTCAGCTTGAGTCGAGCGATCGTCTTCGCCGCCTCAAATATACCCACCACAAGGGCCACATCACGGGGATCACTGGAAATATTTAAATAAAAAATGTTAAAACAAACAAAACAATAATTCACACGCTATTTGCACATTTATTCAAAAAACAAATGAATTTAAATTTAAAATTCTGAGTTTAAACATTGTAAATACATAAACATAACAGTAAACCAAAAAAAACATTCAAATTTTAAATGTAACTTCTTTTTAACTCTGATATTAAATGTATTTTTTTATATCTTTGATATTAAATGTAACCTTTTTCTATCTCTGATATTAAATGTAACTTTTTTGTATCTCTGTCATTAAATGTAACTTACCGTGCATGCACGCATTCCCTGATAGGCAGCACCACGTCTCCATACAAAACCTGGTCACGGTTTATATCTATCAATCGAGAAAGTCTGACAATAGCCAACTCGAACGAACCTAGAAGAAATAAAAATGAATTTATTATTAATATTTTTATTTTATCTTCATAAATTAAATGTAAATGAATATGATGGAGATTTTAAATTCGGGATATTTGATATTATTTATTAATCGTTTTTATTTTTAATTAAAAATAAAACCTAAACTAATTTCGTATATATAGCATCGAAAAATTCATCCACATTGCTGTCAATGCGGAAAGTGGCCAAAAAGCTGACCTCATTGCTTCGTTATATATCAATGTTTATCCTCTGCATCCTGATTCTCATACCAAAGACTTTCCCCAACTTCGAGAACATAATGAAGCCAAAATTGAGAATTAATAACTATAACTGACGAATGGTCGCTAAAATCTAGCATAGCAGCTAGTTAAAATCTACAGTTAGACTATGCCGTCTCTACATTAGAGAAGTTTTCTTTAATCACCACACATGGCAAACGCGTTGGCAATAAAAAAAAATTAGAGAACGCTACTAACTAATCGCTATTAATACGGAATCCTTCAGCGTACAGAATAAAATAGTTGGTCTTTTTTTCTATAATAAAAAATCTGACTGAGACTATGCCGTCTCTACATTAGAGAAGTTTTCTTTAATCACCACACCTGGCAAACGCGTTTAATCGCTATTAATACGGAATCCTTCAGCGGAATCCTTTTTCTATACAAAAAAATCTAATAGGTATATCAAAATCCCTACAAAAAAATGAATGATTAATGGATACCCATACTCACCAGACTTCAGAAGCAGGATCTGATCATCTTGAGTCAGCTTCATGAAGCCAGGTATCAGTTTTGCGAACTCGATGATGTTTTGTATCATTCCCGTCAACTTATCAGCACAATCAAGCCACATCTCCTCGTAGGTCATTGAACTGTAGTATAGGAGCCTGAAACAAATTAAATTTAGGTTTAGTAATACATAATCACAGCGTTGTGTTTCGCCGTGTGAGTGAGGTTACCGGAGGCCCAATCCTTCCCTTTCCCAATCCCTAAATCTCTGTAACTACTCGTAACTCCCCTGTTGTGGGTGTCCATGGTCGGCGCTAATTGCTTACCATCAGGTAATTCGTCGGCTCGTTTGCCGAAGTATTACATAAAACAATATTGAATAGTTAAGTCAATTTATCGTCTTGGTGACCCGGAGGTTAATGGTTTTCGTACATGAGGTTTCGAAACCTGGCGAGAACCAATGTAAGTTTTTGGACTTAGCAGGAGAAAGAACGGGGTGGTTTTTAGTCAGTAAGAGTCTGACAATCCCTCTTACCTCAACCAGGGTGGGAAAAGTCATTTGATTAGGATGACTGATGATATAACATAGGCGATTTCGAATGTCAATTTTTTTTTTAAATGTTAATAGTTAAAGTGTCAGTCTGTCGGTCAGTCTTCAAGTGAAGTTATAGTGCTTTCATTAAATGTAGATGGGAGTTTTTACTATTTCGTTTGCAATTGGCAGGGTTGCGGTTTAATGTTCCAACTGGGGATTGGTTGAGTTTTTTCTGAGTAGGAGAGTGTGTTTAAAAAAGAACTTTATTCCTTTGCAAAAAATGATATTTTTATACTCACTTAGATACGTCCTGTGGCTTTCTGAACATTTCGTGAATGTACTCCAATTTGGGGTTGGTGTTCGCATGAGCTTCAGCTAAACTCTTCACCAGGACCTTGCTTATATCACCCTCCGCTGAAAAAAAGAATATAGTTCAATCTCTCGTCGACAGATGGCAGTGTTTTAAATTTGAATTAAAAATATTTCTGCTACTATTACACATTTTAAAAAAATGTAGGTATCTACTTAATAATAATATCTACAAAGAAAAATATTGCTAGAATAAAGCGAGCAATCACAAATAAATGAAATACAACAAAAAACTTAATCAAAAAATAATATATCCGAACAAAATAAAATTCAAAAGAAAAAAAAATACGACAAAATTTGACATAATGAATGACATTGTCATTTTAATTTGAATGTTATGTTGTATTAAATAATTTATTTATTTATTTATGTATTTCTATTGTTATTAAAATAATGGTCATATATACAGGAGTATTTATATAATGGCTATTGATCCAGTAACAGCTTTTCTTTTAGGAACATGCTGCTGCATTTGTTGGCGTAAGTATCATTTATACTAATATTCCTCACCGTAAACCAGTAAAACAGTTTATGTAACTGATATATCGATGGTGTTTTAATCCCAACAAACATTAAAAACTTGAAACTTATAACGTTTTCGAACGTCTCTTTAGCCCTGGTCGTAAGCGGTCCAATAGGGGCAAGCCGCTAGACCGCTATTCGCCAACACCATAGAATTTTAAAATACGCGCCATGTAGCGTTATGTTTCTGGCCACTGATTGGCCGTCACAGTTTTAGTTAGTTATGGCGGACTTTACAGTTTTATGCGTGTGACTCTTGTAATTTTTGTAGAGTTTTATTAAAGTTTATGCCGTGTAACAGGACTTTGCATTGTAACCGACCCACCCCGATTACAAAGTACACTTGTTTGTTTCTATAGAGGGCCTACACGATCAATGCTTTTATAGATTAGAGACTACGTATTATAACCCCTAGCCAGCACATTTTTTTTTATAGGTCGGCAAATGAGCGTCTTTATAGCCTGATGGTAAGCCACCAAGGGGCTAACCATGTAAGAGAAAGAGCTATACAAGTTGTCTAGCTCTGTCTTTTACCAACACTGAAGTAAGATTAAAACAGTATTACTTTGAACTTCATGGTTTAGCCGCCAGTACCGCTCATGGATACTCGTTACCAAAGGTGTTAACTACAAGTTCGTTGCCGGCCTCTTGTGGGGTATTAGGGATTTAAAGGGGAAAGAATTGGGCCTCCGATAACCTCACTCACACGGTGAAACAAAACGTAATTACTGTTGCTTCGCGCCGGTTTTCTCTGAGGCCAAGTTATCACTCCGGTCGAGCCAGAAGAATCTCTACGATACTTTTTTACTTGCAATTAACTAGTGCTTGACTGCGATCCACCTGATGGTAAGCAGTGATGCAATCGTTGATGGTAAGGCGCACTAGTTTATTAATATAAAAACTTATTTTGCTAACGCGATTTCTTTCGACATTTCAGCCTGTTTACTGCCGTTCTGTTTGTCTCTACCTGTGATACCGTTGCCAATGATTATAATACGACAGCCGAACTTAGACCCGAATGCCCCGAACGCCCAGAATCGAGCGCACCAACAGTACCAGGCTAACGGATACTTTAATGGCGTAAGTATATTGAAAAAGGTCCCTGATTACATATATCTGTCTTTCTGTATAAAACGCCATAAATTCAAGAAGTACTGGACCAATTTTTGTTCACTTTTTACCAATAGAACCTAATTCCTAAGGATGTTTTTGGCAGTAGGCATATATGACCATGCTGTCGAAACCACATGGATTACACACAGAGCCAAATGATCCTCAGCTCAGTGCTGCGTAATTTGGTTGTTTTGGATACAAATGTGTTGATTATTAGATAAGAATCATTAATGGGAAAGTTACACAACACATTATAAGCTGCTACCGACATTAATATTCCAAAAAATAATTGTATTAAGTGAAAAATGTAGCAAAGTAATGCTAAGATTTTCAAATATATTGATTATGTTTTTATAATAACTATCGTGTGACATACTTAATTAACTAAAAATCGCGGGTTACTCACGTGTGTAAATTGAAAAAAGCTGTAGGTACTAGTTTCCCCTCTGTGGTTCGAAACCCGAATTTTTTTGTTAATATATTGATTTCTTTCACTGTATCATTTAATTAAGTCTTCGTTGATAAAACATTATAAATTGCAATTGTATTAAAATCGTTTTTTTTTTTCAGCTAAGAAGCAGTCTACGCTACTTTCCTTTTGAAGGTTTTGACGGTCAAAGATATAATGTAGTGGTCGACAACAATAACAACGATTTTATCTTCCAAAAGGCTACATAAATGATAAATTGTATTGTCTTGTTTTGTTATTAAAATATTCAATTTTTTAAAGTAATTATTGTGCTTATTATTTGCCGTTTTGTTCTGGCAGTGAAATTTTTAGGGTAGTGAAACTGGATGGACCAGAAGTGAAAGTGCTATTGGATTAATGGATTTTTTTAAATATGGACGAAATGATTTTGTGAATTTACTTAAACAGACCCATTTAGTAGGCTGCTTATAAATGTTGAACGAAAACTTTTCTACGAACGAAAATAAAAACATTCCAACGAAAATCTTTAAAATAATCAACGACACATCTAGTAATAACATCTAATCAAAAATTAAACTAGCAAAATAATAATATTTAGCATAAATCGTAAGTCCCATATGTGATTCACTTACACGGCATATCATCATTCGAACTATGACTGGTGCCTTGAGATCTTCTGGAGACGGCATTGGGATTCACCATGCCCATCCCAGACATGTTCATGTTAAGCGGATCCATCAGTCGGCCATGCCCACTACTTGACGTCAAGTCATCTGGACTCAGGTCATCGCTAGTCATCGACACAGAATTATGCCCACTGACTAACACTGAATTCTGGATGTCCATCGGACTGTGTTGTATATTCGATGGACTATGTAAAAATGTAGTGGAGTCCACGTAACTTGGTACTATATTATCGACACCCATTGACGTTTCTGGTTTTACTTCTTGCTTTATATTTAATACGCCGCTGGAAATTGATGCAGGGGACTGGATTCTGGATTCCTCGTAGCGATCGTACTCTTGAAGTCTTGATCGTGGTATTTCGTTTATTGTTGACTGTCGCATTGAAGTTGTTGATGTGGTGGCCGTCGAGGTCGATGTGGAACCGGACGGTCGAACTATTGTTGTCCCTTTTTGTTGGTCGTCTACAGTTAATGGGTTTTGTTAGTGGAATGGATGCTAGGGTTAAGTTATTTTCCATTTTAATTTTGGATGATATCTATTATATTTTTTTTTTTGTAATTCTTTTTTATCATCTCCTAAATTCTACTTTACCTAACTTCCAATGTTATTTACTAAGCTGCTTCTACCTAATATTATCGTTTTGTCGAGAAAGTTTACCTAATTATATTTTTTTCCGATGTCGTGTGTGTTTTCAAAGTTTAATCTTATATGCATTCAGATATGGACGAAACTCTTTAATATTTTATAGATATATGTACATATTAACGAGCACAAACACACACCCACACCCGTAATATAAAAATAACCCATTCGGGACTCTAATCCAAAGGCCTAGACTGCAATGTCTTCCCAGATAAACGTACCATGGCTGATGAAATCCGGGTCCAGGAAACTTCCAGTTTGTTTCGGCTCGTATGCTGTTGTGGAGTCGACGTAGTCTGCAGAGACATCGTAGGGCTGTTGTTGGGCAGGCTGTGGCTGGATTCCACCCATGTTGGACTGAAGAGGCTGAGGGTTGTTATACCCATATGATGATAGCGGAGACCCGTAGCCCGGGTATCTGGAATTGATTAATGGTTAGTTAGTTTAGGGTCCATTTTGTTTTATTGTTCAATTGGTGTAAGTTAAGTCGTAGCTAAGATGCCTATTGATGTTGCTACCCAGGTGCCACTAGTAAGTACGTAGGTGCTTAGCTCGATTAAATAGGAATGCAATAGAAGTAAAAACAGCTATCTGATAGCAGTTTATAATTGATATATCCCTGTTCTAAGCAAAAACTGTCGTATTAACAATTTTCTCCTCATTCCTTTAGACTTTACTGTTAAACGCAATGAAAAACAAACCGTAAATCTGTTAGACATCTCAAACACGCTAGAATAAAAACAGCGCCATCTATCATTCTTAATGAGAAACTCTTAGTACCGCTACTCGATACTAGGTGGCAGTATTTACAGTTTACCGTTAAGCGCCATTCAACTTCGTCACGACAGTATACCGTTGGTCGCTTACAATAATGGCAGCGTCTGATGCACCGCTGACACAAATTGAAGTCCGTGCAGTAATGAATTACAACGGTGACGGCAAACTAGAAAGCTAGGAGTTTTAACGAGACGTACTTCAGTTGCCAGATTGCTAACCATTATGTATTTTATTAGCAAGCCGCGTGAATAAATTTTAATGCACGTTTGTGCCACATACTTTGTTATGATGTTCCTTGAAAAACATTTTAGATCTTCATCAAATGTTCTAAAGCTTATCTATTTGAACAGGTAATGTAATGCATTTTATAAAGTGCACAAATTACTTATCAGAAAACAAGCAAGATAGTATTGCTTTTAGATAACAGATGGCGTTACTCACCCGTTGTAGTGACCATGGAACTGGTCGCTTGAGCTCGGTGTCTGTTGCTGGGCGTCGTAAACTGAATCAGGCGCCGTATCAGTCTGCGCTCTCATCTGTGCACGATGGAATCGCACCTCATCTTCCACTTTCTCGCGTTGCTTTTTCGACATACGTCCAAACTTCACCGCTGTAAAGACAAATTGTGATTAGTACCACTACTCACCGCCACGAGCGCTCGCGTCGCGCACGAAAAACTTATGACACAAATGACATAACAGGGAATCCTATATTCGCATCGTTCCCATGCCTTAATATTCACACGACGAAAAAAACGCAGTTAAAATCGGTAAGTCTAACAATACAATGCAATTATATTCTCAATGACAACTAGCTTCATCGCTTAGTTACTCAATACTTGCACACTTGCGTCGCGGTAGTGTGCGGTGGCGTTGATAGTGTGCGTGGACAAACGGGTGTTGATTGGTTGTGTGAGTAGGGTGTGCGTTCGTGTGCGTCCGGGACACTTCGGCCGTTGGCACACTGCCTAGTGGAACAACGAACTCGCGAACTCTGACGTGTGTATGTATAGTACAAGTGACGTACTCACTACGTAACTATGTTCGATCCCGTTGGGCGCCAACGCGACCGATTTGAGTTACGAACACCGCTCGAACTCCGAACGCGAAACGAGCAAACTTCTTAATTTCGCCGCGTTATTTTTTTTAGGAATCCGTTTTTTTATGTTTGTATTCGCCTATGAATTCTTTGTTGAAGTTCGATGACTTTACGTGTCCAGTATAACTTGACCTGTCTTTGCATACACTTTATATGTATGGAGAGGTCTATGAAATTTGCTTCTTTGCATGTAGTTTAGAACAAGGAGTTCTGTTCGTGGACATGTTCCAGATTTGTGTAGAAACAATAAAATTTGAAACAATAGTTGATTTGTTCATTTACAATAGAGTCTTTGAACTGTATGTATGTCGAAAAATATTTATTTTTGGTCTGAAGTCAATAGAAGGGGCTCTCTTGGGTATGCGGAAGATTGTTAACGTATTTTCTTAGCTTCTATGATATCATAATTCGCAAATAGACATTACAAGTTAGCACTACACACTAGCACAATGAAAACTAAACTTAAAAACCACTAGTTTAGTGTCTGAAATCCGTTTTAAGACTAGTTTTACTAAAAATGCCATAGCATTTTTTTGTGTCTGCGTAAAAAATTCTGAATTCTCATATAGTAACTAACATTAATGTCTGTAGTCGGTTAAAAAACAAGTATTATGTGTTACCACGTAACATTGTAAAATATGTATCGATATACGACTTGTTTGAAATAATTAGTGTATATTACATAAAGCCGTCCTTTGCGCGTGTGTGCTGTATAATCGTGTTAATGTGTGCGCATGTGTGTGTGTCGCTGAAAAACTTGGATATGTTTATGTTATGCTTCATGACTATATTGCACAATGTTGTAGGGATGTGCTTCTTGTCGATAATTAATATTCGTTTTATCGATGTTATGTTTTTATTTTAAATTGTTGACGTTGCATAAAAATTTGTTATTTTATAGCTCAAGTTAATGCATTATTATAATTTTGAATAAAAAACCTTAAGAAAAGTTTAAGGTTATATAGACAACAGAATATTTTGTCTTAGTCTTGTTAAAGTATGCAAAAAGATTAAGCAGAAGGCACAGAATGCATGGAATTGAACAGCAAACAATATTCCCTTTTCTCCTAGCAATAAAAGTTACTTTTACATTAAAATAAATAAGCTAAACTTGTATTTATAAAGAGTTTTGTTTATACCAAACTATACTTGACTTATACCAAAGTATATGAAATCTATCGACATCGATACTTTTGTCTAAAGTATTTTATCGACAAAAGCGCGTGGCAACCGGTCGTTACGCAACAAGTCTGTGTAGCGTGGACGGTATCATGTTATGTATGATTAACGTGACATGTTATGTACAGGGTGCTTGAAAATGGAGATGATCGCGATAACAGCGTAGTAGGAAAGCGAGTACGTAAAAAAGATGGATAAGCCTTGAAATAAAGAAAAATGGCGCTTAAAAACTTGCGAAATATGGATTATTGTTCCGTGAACCTTTGACTGCCGACAGAAAACTGTTGAAGGCAAGTTCTTCACTAACGGAGGTCACCGGTTCCCATAAAAAGTACAGGAGATGAAAAAGCAAGAACGTATCTAAATGAATCTACAAATTCAATGCGCGATGCCTGGCCAACTGGCTCCCGCGCAACATGTCGCGTGTCCGATTCCCGTTCAGAAAAACTCTTAGTATGATCTACAAATTCTTCCGTTCCGTTCCGGGTCTGGATGTGATGTGTAAGTAAAATTGTATGTTTGTAAACGCAGCCACGACGCAAAAGAAAATCACAGTGCGGGGAAAAGTTTTCAGTAAAAAACAATATCGATAAATTTTACAACTTTTCATATCGATGAAAAGTTGTAAAATTTATCGATATTTAATCATAATATTTTACGAATTTTTATCGATATTTTTAAGTAAGAATCGATGCCTCAACTATATGTATTGTGAGGTTGTTACGTGGATTGCGCAACAAGTCGTCAGTCGTCATTGCACGCGTCGGCGACGACTTGCTATGTGCACGCGATTTGGCGTGACACGTATGTATGTCTTTAAGATTATTCATTTTTAAATATAGAGGGCGGTACTGTCACGGAAAGGGTGGTTGATTTTTTTCCGGGTTAATGGAAACTTTTTTGTGTACATTTGTTGTGTATCAAGAACTGTTTAGCAATACACGAATAAATTTCTTTTTTTTTTAGTAAGTAGAAGATAATTTGGCATTGGTAAACATATTTTAAATGTAAGTTTCGTTAAATTATATGTTAGTTACAATGATTCAAACTTAACCAGGACCTAAATACGCATATAAGATACTTTAACCACTATTTAACTTCATGTAGTTTATATACTATTCGAGTACATAGTTGTGACAAAAATGTTTTAAGAAACTCGATAACAGATGGCGTTAGTTGTTTATGTATGTAAATTGTATTTTTTTTTCTGTTCAATATTTTATTGTATTATTTGTGAATTTTATAACGTAGGTTATGAGAACCGTAGCCCAGCACTGGACTTAATATAGAAATAATTGCCCAGCAATGGAAAAACATTTATTTCTCGGGAATGCTTAAAAAGTAACTCCAATCATTTTGCCCATATAAAAATTATCCCAGCAACATTATACTCAATGTATTACGTTTAGTTACAATTTCTACATCACAATTTTCTCATAATAAAACTTGCGTTGTACGCTTACGTAGTATAAACACAACGTTATCAGTAGCGATAAGAGGTCGTTGACCCCGCCACTCGCTTCCTTATTCCACTAACACGTGCTTTGAGGTGAATACATTCTTTTATTCAATTCATTTTGATTTAAAAATGGAATGCTTATTGTGTATACGTATGCTTAATAGAAAAGAGGCCTACCTCAAAAAAAGAATAATTACATTTTAAAAGTTATGTTTTAATGGATAAGGTTCAATTTTGAAGTACCCTCCTTTATAAGTCAGTTCTGTTTTCTTTTAAACATACGTAATTATTAATATTATTATTTAACGTGTGTATATTTATTGTAATTTTGTATGTATTATTATTTTGTATTTAAGTCATTACTAAAAATTAAATGTATTATATTTTCTTATTAATAAATTATTAAAAAAACACGATTTTAGGATGCGTTTTGTTTCGTCGTGTGATAAATTTTCACTTCAACCAATCCCTATACTCTTAAATCCCTGTACCAGTCAATATATTTGTAACTTCTCTTCTGTAGTGGGTGTCCATCCATAGCTTACCACCAGATAATCCATCTGATCGATTACCGTACTCGAGATAAATAAGTCTAGCTACGCGACTCAAGGTCGGGTTTTGGATGGGTGACCGTTAATAAAATCCGACTTACCATCTCGACTCATTCCGAGTTTCAAGCATTTCTGTAATCTGCAGTATTGGCAGCGGTTCCTGTTTACTCTGTCTACCACGCAGGATTTGTTCCTCGGACATTGGTAGTTCACCACTGAAAAATATTAAATGAGTTAGTAAGTATATACTACTGAAAAGGCACAGAAAGTTGTAAAAAAAAAACATTTTTCTTTATTTTTCAATAGTATATAAGTGTGGGAGAGCCATGCTTCGGCACGAATGGGTCAGCTCGACGGGAGTAATACCACGGCCTCACAGAATACCAGCGTGAAACAACCCACAGCGTTGTGTGAGTGCGGTTACCTGAGGCCCAATTCCGCTTCCCCTATCCCTTCCCAATCCTTATATCCGCAACCCTTATCCCCAAAAGGCCGGCAACGCACTCGTAACTCCTTTGGTGTTGCGGGTGTCCATGGGCGGCGCTGATTGCTTAACATCAGGTAATCCGCCTGCTCGTTTGCCGATTTATTACATAAAAAAGTATCCATCGTGATTTGTACTAAGTTTATTGTAAATAACGACTTGCTCACGTGAATTTACTGAGAAAAGCTCGACTAGTTTCAAGTTAGAACGGGACTCTTATTCATGGCTATGACCAGCGTGCGTGTCGCGGCGATTTACTAGGAGAGATTTTCTCAATTGATTCACGTTAGTACCTAAGGCATTTTTTTTAAATAAAGTTTTTCTCTATGTATTTTATGACGTCTGATTTAGGGCTGATTCTTCAATGGTTAGATAAAAGTTACCTAAGGAATAATTATGATGCTGTCGCGTCAGAATGTTCGTATAAGACAGTGACAGCAACAATTTTATTCCTCAGACAACATTTTATCTGACTATTGAAAAGTCAGCCCTTTGTAGTTTTGAATTAAAAATAAAAACGAAAAATAATATTTAAATTTCGAATCACTGAAGTGAAATTGTGTATGGCCAATGTTCGGCTTATTTTTTTAAATTGGATTTCTTAATTTATCTGTGCCTTTTCTATTATATCAAACGTATTGTATTAATGTCGTAATAAAATAATAAATTTTAAAGGAGTTTGTATGCATGTAATCAACCAATATTTTTTTTCACTCAAATTATTTTTTACTAATTTTTAAATTCTATTTTTATATAAGGGCCGAGTTCATAGTGGACATTTAAGATATCATAAATTGTCACTATTGACTGACTCGTCACAAAAGTAGAGTCAAATTCTTAGATATTTTTTTATAAGTATAAGTAGAAATTTTTTATTCTTCGAGAAGGTATTAAAATACTATCACTAAGCTGAATCTACCAAAAACTCAATAATATATTATGTATACTTTTTTTGTAATAAAACCTTTTTTAAGAGGCAGTTCTGTCTTCATATTAAATGTACGAGTATTTCAGCCAGGGCTACATAATAAAAAATACTCCTTAAGCATTTTACTATGCCAACAGTAGTCAATGGTAAATGAACTCTATTTTGTAAAACATAAAGTTTATATTAGAAGTACAAATGAAGCCGACCTGTGCTCTGCGATCTTCTGAAGAAACCCTTGCATCCCTCGCAGGTGATCACACCATAATGGACTCCTGATGACTTGTCTCCGCACACCTTGCATGGTATTATCTCGATTTGAGCTGTAACAATAAAGAAATAAGTGTTATTATTGATTGACACAGAAAATTTGACAAGATAACTTTCATGGTAATTTGAGCTGTAATTTTGAAGAAATAAGTTACATTTTTGCTTGAACACCAATTTTAGGGAAAAATTAATACAGGTCGCATTATCTTCGTTTGAACTGTGATATGTAGGAAATATTTTATATTTTTGCTTGACAATGACAATCATAGGAAATTATAATTTAATTAAATTTTTTATTGGATGCACGTACAAATAATGCAATATTTTTTTTAAAGTTATTTGGTAGAATAAAATTCCTAGACTGGTGAAATAAAAAATAAAAAAAAAATTAAAACCGTACGCGACGTCATAAGAAAGATTATCACTTAATTAATAAATCTTGTAAATAACTACAAAAAATGTCGTACATTGATATTTTTATGCCAAAATCACAGATTCGAGAAAAAGACCTCGTCACACTCAGAACCACAGATTAACTAATTAAGTACCGGTAACCAAAAAAAAAATTCTCAATTTACAGACAAAATCGTCCACAGAATATACAGCATCATCTCACTTAATTCATCAAACCCCAAGCGAACGCCGGTGTTCGCGCGCCCTATTGTTGTTCTATTGTGTCTCAACTAACAACGATTAAAAAGTTAAATAACACCTAACAGCGTACCACTCTGTCTACCCCCATTCCCAAACGAGGCGTGATGATACGACTGGTATAAAATTACGCTACCAATTTTGGTCTCCGTCCATTGACCCCGGCAAGGTCGCTTTGCGGTCGTTGACTTTGTAAACGTGTGTGCGCACCCTATACTGATAGAGCAAGCCCTTTTGTAAGTGTGTGCGTGGCATGAAGCCTATCTTTTAAAATACTCGTTTCTACCAGCGGTTTCGCTCGCTTTACAAGTAGGAAAAGTAGCATATATGTATTATCTATCTCTGTGCCAATTTTAATCAAAATCCGTTCAGCACTTTTTAAGTTATAGAGTAACAAACATCTATCCATGCTTACAAAATAATTAAAATATAACATTTTTGTTGATATTATTATACATATATATGTTTTATATAAAAAAGGGGTAAGTATATGTATTAAAAATACAAACAGTTTTATACTTATGTAACTAATTAGATTCAGGCCCTCGTCTATGTTAGAGGGATCGGCCATTTTCTCAAACCCTGACAGTCTGGTTGGACTTCGCTGTATAAAAATTTACGACTTTTCATACGATTTTTTATAGATAGAGTGATTGAAGAGGAAGGTTTATATGTATAATAATGTCTATTAAACAGTGGAGAAATTTAGTATTATTAGAATTGTACCCGTGTGAAGTTAGAAAAATAAATATATAATTATTAAACTTTCATATACTAATGTAAATGGGAAAATTTTAAAAATCAATTCTTACACGTGTCCGTTACAAATTGAGTTTTAAGGATTGTCGTTAAAATGTAGTTAACTAAACGTTAAGCGTTAAACTGATAACTAAAACTAGTTTCGGTTAAGTTATTTTAAATAGTTTATCGTTTAGCCGTACTTAACTATTTTCGCGAGGTAACTTAACAGACCTTTGTAATAAGGGGTAAGTCTATCACCATAGTCAAATAAAAGTTAACCCTATCTCAGGTTAAGCTACCCTTGCCAAGGTTGATTTTAAGATGGGTGACCATTTTTAATAATAGCATTGTGTGGTATTGCAATAATGTTTTCTATATTCGATTTCCGATTATAGACATGTAATTCTATAATCTTATGAAATAGGTCACTTAAAAAAAACTCCTAAATAGAGTTGCGTATAACGGAACACAAAACAATAGTTTGAATTAAACCCGTTCCGTTTTACGACACAACTGTTGACAAAATGACAGCTTGCAATATCCTTCTCTTGAATCAACATTGTTATGTTGGTAACACTTATTGCGTTTCGAAATTCAAATTCGCAATTTTAACGGTTTTCTTCCTCCAAAGAGGAATTAATAGTGGACCTATTTAATAATAGTTTCTGGCTGCTCGGATTCTATTGGTCATAGCGCATTTCTTTTTAAATTTGGAAGGCTTCCTTGTCCTGTAAAATCCGTACCTAGAAAACACATTTTTTTTAATTCGTCCAAGTTGTTTCGTTTACAAGTGCAAAGAAACAAACTCTTCAGCTTGTTACTATTAATAGTATATATTTATCTGCAAGATAGTTGCTATCCAAGGAATGCAAAAACCGGCCGATATACCTTTCCAAGATACATCTACTCCAGGCATTCCCGTAGACAGAGACGAACATACATCTATCTCTGTCCCACGAAACAGCTGATTGTGACGTCGTCGGGCGTCGACCGCGAGCTCGTTCGGAAATTGTATCACGCCCCGCTACGTCACACAACGGTCATTCATTTTGATTTTCGAACGTTTAGAATGTACAGTTATGTAACATTTTGATCTTAGAATTTTTAATAAGGCTGTATGGGATGCGTGATCTTTGACTTTAAAATTGTAATTTAAAAGTTTGAGATGTCATTTTTGTATTCGGAAGTTTGGTTCGGTGCCTCGTTTAGTCTAGTTTTGTACTTGTATGCAAGATAAGATAGTTTTTTGGAGAGTTTAGCAGACTTGAAAACAGTCTAGACAGTACAGTTCAATCTGTTAATCAAGTAATTCTTAGTTTTATTACCAAGCAAAGCAATGTATTATGAATTTTACGATTTCATATTTGTTAACACATATTTTGCCTATGTGAGAAATATAGTTTTATGTTCTATTTTAAAGAAATAAAGTTCCTTTTCGCGCTGTAAATATAGATACAACTGACGAGTCTTACACTTGACAATCGAGTTGGCGATTATTCGATTTTCAAGTTTGCATTCAATACTGTGGTTTAATACACACCCACCATACGTCATAAGGTCTACGACCTTTGCAAAGCTCAACAAGGCTTTAGTTAGGGCTGTCCGGAAAAAGTATTTTTTAAATAAAATCTGCCTGAAGAAATTGTTATCTATCTACAGTACAGGTATTTAAAATGATAATAAGTGCTTTATGTATCTTCATTTCCCAATATACCCTCTAACGGAATGTCCTTCATATATTTTAAAATTATTGCCAAAATTTCTATACACTCTGGCAAAAATCTTCAATTTCACAAGCGTCAGCCATGGGTCTAGTTCCAAATTTAAATTTTAATCTAACGGCTTATGTACGCCAAGGGTCATCGACCGTAGTTGTCCGAACTAGCGATACGTACAACTTTATAGCGACACCCCTAAATTCGCGAATGAGACTCTATAGCATCAAAAATAAAGTTTAATTTTAAATAGCAATTGCTTTATAGAATTGCCAACATCTACCAGCTTAAAATTCGTGTGCCAGTCGGAGAATTTGTTTCTATTTTATCTTTAATGTATTTTTTCACGGTTTTAATATTGCTGGCTGAATATTTTTATTTTATTTTAGTCTGTATTTTCAAAGAAAAAACAGTGACGATATATTTGTGTGTGTTTTTTAACGTGTTTATAAATAAGACAGAAGACAGGAAACCGAGCTGAAGCTAAAAATATCAGCGAAACTGATGACTGATTCTTAAAATAATCTTTGTCTCACACTTTCAGTATAAAAATAGTTTCATTTGATGTTTACTTTCATTCTAATAGACAGACTTTTTATTTGGCATTTGACAAGTTACCATCAAAAAAACATGGCAACTGCAGAATCAGCTATTAATCAAAAAGTGTTTTATTGGCAAAACGTAAAATAATATTATGCCAATAATTTCATAAATCAACCTAAATATAATAAAACAATCATCACTTTCTTTAAAATTCAAAACAAAGGTGAAGAAATGTTTGCTTTGTTGACTCTGCAAGTTAGTTAAACACAAAGTTCATCAACATTATAAAATTGCGAAAGAATATTTTCCGAATTGCATAATCGACGTGGTAACAAATTATGATGCAATTGAATGCGTCAGCAGTTTAAGAATCAATTTATATTAACTTATTTTTGTCGACGAATCACAGGTAAGTTAACTGACAACATTCATAGAATTTAAAATTCGAATTTCGCATAAATTTTCTCCCTTGCAACATTAAATGCTACAGGGTTTATTATTAAGCAATTGACTCGATCCAAGAAAATCGCACAAACAGACAAATATAATAATAAATCGATTATATTTAGGATTTGGCTTCTGATCAGCTGTGAACGGTCATCGAACTCCCGATCTATTGTCTCGATAATGTATTGTAATCACATTCTTTAAACGTTGCACAAGTTTTTAAATGAATCGTCTGCTACTATTGTGGATTGGTCAATAGTAGGAATAAAATGAAATTGCCTTTTTATTGTGGCAATTTGTGTTGAGCTAGTAGAGAATGCAAGTGATGTGAACGGACCATAAAAATAGAAGACAATGAGAATTCTAAATTTGAAATCAGACGGCCATTTTGAATTTAATTTTATTTAAATGTAGACAAAAATACACAATTTAAAACACTAATATTTATGATTTTACTAAAGTAAATATATAATTTTATAATAAGTAATCCGTTCGTTACCTTTTGTCCATCGATATTTAATCATATTTTATCAAGACTGATGGCTTATAAGCTGATTCTTTCTACGAATCACTACGAAAGGGAATTCCACCAAGGAAGCCATTTTAAATAGGTGTTAATATTTATAGGTATTCAATTAAATATTAATCCATAACTTACGGAAGGATAAAAAGTTTCTAAAAAGCTTGCACCGAGGATGAAATTCGCTCTATAAGTGACATCTGCATTACATGAGCTGCTGTTTACATGTGAACATTAGCTCATGACGATACCTAAGTACGTGTGTCGCCTGGACAGTCTACGCTACCATCAGTTGACTGGACAATCTCTGCACTACATGAGCTGCTGTTTACATGTGAACATTAGCTCATGACGATATCTAAGTACGTGTGTCGCCAGGACAGTCTACGCTACCATCAGTTGACTGGACAATCTCTGCACTACATGAGCTGCTGTT